TAGTGGACATTTCAACTGAAGTCTTTTTCTCTGCTCAAGTGGAATTGAGAAATTAATAAACTGAAACTAATATGCCAGAAACTAATATGCCAGAAAAAAAAAGATCGGGGATAGCATTCCGGAGGTCTAAGAAAATGTGGAATTCAGAACTAGAGCAAGTGATGGCCAGTAAGGTGCCCAAGAGGTCTCGGTCAGACGGAGTTAGCTCACCAGCCAAACAAAGGACTCGTCGCTGCCTACGAGAAATACCTCCAGTGACCAAAATGAACACTTCAGAACCAGAACCTCAGCCCCAACCAGGTACGTCTGCACAAGAAACGATTGGAGAATCACCTTTCTTTACTCCAAACCCCTACCAAGTGCTTCAAAATGACAGAGAAGTAATGGAGTCTGCAGCAATACCCAGAGAACCAAAGCCTCCTCCGATATTTGTGAAAAATATAAAAAATTTCCAGATGTTCTGCACCCAACTAAATAAAATCTGCTCTGGCAGTTATTCATGCCTTAACAGAACCAATGACACCAAAATAACACCTGATTCTGCAGAAGCCTACCGAAAAATAGTGAAGTACTTATCAGAAACAAATGCGAATTTTCACACTTACCAGCTGAGGCAGGAAAGAGCTTTACGAGTAGTGATAAGAAATTTACATTCCTCAACCCCCACTGAAGTTATTAAAGAAGAACTAACGACGCTTGGTTTCAATGTACGCCAGGTAACAAACGTTTTGAAGGAGGACAGAGAGCAGCCAGGATTACGAAATAGGATCCCACTACCATTGTTTTTCGTGGACTTGGAGCCATCACCAGGTATCGAAAAAATATATGATATCACAAGAATATACTACACAATGGTGAAAGTTGAGAAGCCATATCCCAAGAGAGACATCGTGCAGTGCCATAATTGTCAGACCTATGGCCACACGAAGACATATTGCTACCATCTGCCGCGTTGCGTGAAGTGCGGTGAACAGCACAAATCTGTAGAGTGCACCAAACCTATACAAGATCCAGCAGTATGTGCCCTATGCTTGGAGGGACACCCGGCCAACTACAAAGGCTGCCAAATTTACAAGAATCTCAAAACCAGACACCAGAAAAACCGGATTCAAGATGAAGCACTAAGAACAAGAAGAGAGAGAGAGCCTTCCAGAATTGTAAACAATGATGTATCATTCTCCCAACTACTTAGAGGTAAGACTTTAACCGATAAATGTCAAGCCCTGCCACAACAACAACCTCAAACCCAACCTCAAAATCCTCTTCATCCTAATATACCTAACCACCAACAACAAATTCCTCATATTCCTCCTCCTTCAAATGCAACAGATCTCACAAGTTTATTAGCATCTTTCCTCACCGATTTCAAATCCCTTGTTACTCCACTCATATCACTCCTCACGAATCTCGTATCTCACCTCATCCCTCCTTTGAAAAATCCATAAATGACTCACATCCCTAAACCCATATCCATTCTCCTTTGGAATGCGAATGGTGTTAGAAATCATACAGACGAACTATCTACTTTACTACTTGACAAGAACATTGATGTGGCACTAATTACTGAAACTCGACTAACCACTAAACAGCACTTCAATATACCACAATACCTGACATATCGTACTGACCACCCTGACGGAAAAGCACATGCCGGTACTGCTGTAATTGTACACCAATCCCTCTCCCATCACGTACTCCCATTACCAATACATGATTTCCTACAGTCCACCGCTATCGTGATAAAAACCTTCTCCTTTCCGGTCACTCTTGCATCAGCGTATTGCCCTCCTAACCGATCCATATCCAATGCCCAATTCAGTTCTCTCCTCGACTCCTTAGGACATCACTTCATCTTGGGTGCAGACCTAAATGCCAAGCACCAACAATGGGGTTCTAGAACCACGAATTCTCGTGGCCGAACCCTGCTGTCTGCACTCAATTCCCAACGTTTTCACCTCCTTTCCCCCAACTCTCCTACCTACTGGCCCACAGATCCCAACCGTAATCCTGATCTTCTTGATTTCTTTATCCACAGCGGCTTAAGTCCCCTCAATTGTTCCATTACACGTCTAAATGAACTTTCCTCTGACCATAGTCCTCTAATCCTTAATGTTTCACTTGAACCTGTTCCCAAACCTTCTCCACCGTCATTCATTAGGGGCCCAGTAAACTGGGACCTTTTCCGCCAAATAATCTCCGATAATATTGATCTCAACATATCCCTCAAAACTCCCGATGACCTTGATAGTGCCGTAAATTCCTTTACTACCACAATCCAACAAGCCGCCTGGACTGCCTCCTTCCCAAAAGACTCCTCCAGAATTCCTATAAAGACCATTCTACCCCAACACATCCTTAACCTAATCCGCACCAAACGCCGTGCCAGATTATTATGGCAACGTACCCGACATCCTACCGACCGCTGCTCCTATAATTACTACTGCAAACAATTAAAACTGGAATTAGCCATCTTCAGATCACAATCCTTCAACTCCTACCTATCCTCCCTCTCTTCTCGCGACAATTCCCTTTGGAAAACCACAACAAAAATCCTAAATCCTCACCGCATTTCCCATCCTCTCCGACGAGGTGATGGCTCCTGGGCAGCATCTGACGAAGATAAAGCTGAGGAGTTCGCCATTCACCTATCCAATACATTTATTTCACATCCGGAATCCCATCCTGCCCACACCGTAACAGTAGAAGAACTCCTTACATCACCAATCCCACTTTCCTTGCCCCCAAAAGCTATTCATCCTTCCGAAGTAAAATTTCAATTAAAAAAACTAATCCTCCGTAAAGCTCCTGGACATGATCTCCTTACACCTCAAATCCTTCGACAAATTCCATCCAAAGCAGTCATATTCCTTACATATATCTACAATTGTATCCTACGCACCACCCACTTCCCTCTGTTATGGAAACACTCCACTATTATCCTCTTCCCAAAACCAGGAAAACCTCTCAATAGCTCAACATCCTATAGACCAATCAGCCTACTCCCAATCCTTTCAAAAATTTTTGAAAAGATCCTTTTGAAACGAATCCTACCCATTATAGAATCCCAAAATATTCCTTCCCATCAGTTTGGTTTTCGCTCCCAACATTCTACTGTTCAACAAGGACTCCGAGTTGTTGATCATATTTCCTCAGCCCTAGAAAACAAGGAATACTGTTCGGGTGCATTTCTGGACATTGCACAGGCATTTGACCGGGTATGGCACTCCGGACTGCTCTCCAAGCTTAAAATCCATTTACCTCAGTCCTTGTACCTAGTCCTCCGATCCTACCTCTCTGACCGCTCCTTCCGAGTTCGCTGTGGAACAGAATTTTCCAATATCTACTCCGTTAAAGCCGGTGTTCCCCAAGGCAGCGTCTTGGGTCCCGTGCTTTACATCCTCTTTACTGCTGACATCCCTGTTCATCCCGATACTTTTCTTGCAACATTCGCTGACGACACCGCAATCTTATCATCCAACTCTGATCCCAACATAGCATCCTTAAATCTCCAAAACCACCTCACCTTGATTGAGCACTGGTGTAATAACTGGCGCATTAAAGTTAATGAATCTAAATGCCAACATATTACCTTTACACTCCGACGCAGTTCCTGTCCACCAGTACACTTTAATTCCATCCAGCTTCCTTACTCAGACACAGTCCGGTATCTTGGCTTTCATTTAGACCGAAGACTAACGTGGAACCCACATACTAGACTCAAAAGACAAGAACTCAACCGACGATACGGCCAGCTATACAGACTACTAAACAGAAAATCCAAACTTTCTATTGAAAACAAATTACTTATCTATAAGACAATACTGAAACCTATATGGACATACGGACTTGAACTGTGGGGGACAGCAAAAGCTTCTAACATCAAACGTATTCAATCCTTTCAATCTAAAGTCCTTCGAACAATAGTTGATGCTCCGTCCTATGTAAATAACAAAATCCTACACCATGACCTTAATATCCCATTTGTCCTAGACCTTATTCCAGAAAAATTCTCCAAATTTCACCAGAACCTTACCTATCATCCAAATCCCCTTGCACAATCTCTATCCAGCACCACCCATCCTTACAATCCTCCTCGAAGGTTGAAGCGGCAGTGGCCCAGAGACCTTTTGTAAATAAGCATCTATTGGAGTTTTGGCAATGGCCAGATCCTCCACTCAAGCCCGAGTGTGTATGATTAGGTTAGTTCTTTTGTTTATATACATTTATTTTATTTTATTGTATTTATTTTTATTTTATTTTTTTTGTATTTATTATTATTAAGTTTCTGTATTATTTATTATTTTTTTATTGTAAATAGAGTGTGAGTGTGCTTTCTCTGATCACTATTATAAATGTCCTTGATGTGACAGAATGTAATATTTCTAAATAAACAAATATAAAAATAAACTGAAAACATTGCTTTATATATATATATTAATCTGTTAGTGCCATCTTTGGGTTGGATTTTATGACTGATTATTAATAAACTTACTATTTAGAGAATTTTACCAGTCTAAAAAATGAATAAGAAGAGAAACAAAAGTACTAGGTCCCTTTCGGTTTCCTAAGCTGGCAGCCAATTTAAATAATTTCCAGAACACGATTCTCGGATTCCCGATGAATGCCGATATTAGCCAAATATTGACAAATTTGTTTATATCTAAGTTGCACTCACATTCAAGTGTTGTTAAGGTATTTTACTTGGTACACTACTTAGCTTAATGTTATGTCTCCAAAATCCAGACAAACAAAACAAACCTGTCAACGTTTTGTCAATTCAGGAATCATCAGGACAAAAAAGAACAGCTAATTGAACATAAATATATCCATGATATCCAAATGCATACTCTATCAGTGATGTTGAATTAGCTGTCCTTTTCTGTCCCGATGATGCCTGAATTGGCGAAACGTTGAGAGGTTTGTTTTCTTTGCCTGGATATTGGAGACATAATGCTGGCTGATTTAATTAAGTTATTATTGTTATTTCAAAAAACACATGATTGCAATAAATAATACGCTATATTGACTACTGTATGGCTATGGCATAGACTGCAGTGAGGCAGTACAGGTTGGCGTTCTCCCATCGGATGGTGCAGCAGCAGTCGGTGCTCTGGTCCCAGTAGCACTGGGCCGAACTGTAGAGGGCGGAAGAGCCCCTTTGGATGATGGAGCATGTCACCACGAACTTGTAGCCCTCCTTGGACTTGGTCAGCCTATTGATGCAAGACTTGATGATCTCCTCTGTCCACTGGGACACCTTGGAGTAGCTGTACCTCCTCGCTCCTATGATTGAATCCACCGATTCCTTGATGATGTTGGCCACTTCTTTTATAGGGAAGCATTCCTCATCCACTTCGGTGCAGGATTCCGTATGGTTCCAAAACATCATTATGTATTTATGTATTTTTTCCAATAAATATTAACAGGCATCACATATAACAGGTTTTATGTGTGTAACAATCACCATTTCTGTTATGATTATAAGCATGTGTTTCTTCCATTGTTTACGAAAATAATGTTACGCATTTATTTCTTTAATCTTAAAGACATTTTAGTAGATGGTTGAATTTAATTCAGTAATCAGGTATGGTTCATTATTAATCGTTCACTGTGTTTGTGTTTTATTCCTTTTCTACAGTAACAACGTAAATAGGATGTGTTTTCCATGTACAACTTTCTTTTTGTTTCATTCAAAATGATTTAATGTAAATTTACAAAAAAAAAAATCTGTTTGTTGGTAATATATTATTTAGTTATTGGAATAAAGAAGATGATTGTTGAAGGTTAAATATATGCTGACGTTTCAGTTATTACACTGAAAAGTGGAAAAAAAACATGATATCAGAATAAAGAAAGAAAGAAAGTAAATTTTATTCTGGGACATTTAGTCCCCTCAGAATAACTATAATGAACAGAGAAATGACAATTGTCTGGCGGTTGTAAATAATTAAATGAAAATTAAAAATAAATTAATTTACAAAATTGTTTAGCCCTAATATTAAAATAAAGAAGCATGTAAATTTTTCATAATAATAAAAATTATTAATATTAAAAATAAAGACACTGGAGTAAACATATGATCTTGAAGTAGACATATGAATTTAAAGATGATTACATACGGGTGAGTTCACGTATTTGTTACAAATAAGCAATATGTCACATACATAGATATCTGCAAGATATCGGTATAGTGTAACTGACATCTCTAAAGTACAAAACAACTTTATTTTACATAATAATGATTACTAAGGAGTCAAAAAAATAAATTATGTTTAAATGAGGTCAAGGATGAGGGTTTCCGTAAAGAGTAGGGAATTCCAAAACAAGGTAGCACGTATGACGAAGAATTTTTTAAAGGAAACAGTTGTTAAAAATTGAGGATCAGGATCTCGTGTTGAACGAATGAACAGAGGAACAAGGAGTAAAGAAATCAAGAAGGTAAGAAGGTTTTTTGGTTGTAAAGGTTCGGAAAAGGAATACACCTAGGAAATATTGCCGTCGGAAAAATGGATATAGCCTCTTCAAATCGGCATACAACTGGGGACATGGGAGCGCCTGGGAACTCCAAGTATAAATCTAATGAAACAATTCATTAGCCTCTTTAATCTGATCTCAAGCTCACCAGACAGTCCACCGTATACAAGGCAGCCAATCGAAGTGTGGAAAAATGAGAGAGGTAACTAGGAGCTGACGGATTTCAAGGGGCATAGATTCACGGAATCTCAAGAACTGTTAGAGAATAGCAATCGACTTTCGGATAATTTGGGAATTGTGATTATTCCTGGTCAGGTTTTGATCAAACCAAGCTTTCTTACGGAAGTATGAAAACGTATGAGTATCCCTAAATAATGTGTATGAAACAATACATGTAATGTGATTAAATGAGAACGACGAAAAATACGAATTATGTTCTATATGATGATTGATTCTCTTCAATAAATATTTTTATCCTTAATTTCTCTTCGTATCTTTCTTCAATTATTCCTCTATCTTCTTCAATTATTCTTCTCTCTTTTATTTAATGACAAATTTTCACCCTTTCCAATTTTTTAATCTCATTGCATATACCTACCTACCTGTAACATTAATTGTTAATTATTATTTAAAATAATTATATCTTTGTCGTGAAAATCATCTTTTTAATGTCTGAGGTGATAAAATATGCAAAAAGAAAATTGCTCAATATTTATTATATCTTTTCCAGCATTCACCCTTCTATTATTCATAAAAGATAAATATTAGACACATCCAAATATCCAAATACCGGCAAAACTTTCAATTATATGTTATAAATTAAAGCATACACCTAATTAATATAAATTAGTATAAAACTAACCAAGAGATATAAAATAAATGTTAGGTTATACTTGGAAAAATTCCAAACCAGCCTTTTGTCTCCAAAATGTAGGCAAGAAAAAAAAACCGTCAAAGTTTTGCCAATTCAGGCATTATCAGGACGGAAAAGAACAACAAGCATCACTCCATGACATCCAATCACATACTGAGAGGAAGTTAAAGCAACACAGCCTGGTTCTTTTCTTTGCCTGCATTTTGAATAGGAAAGAAAGACTGTGTGGTTTGGAAAATTTCCAAATATAACCTAACATATACTTAATTTAAATTATTTTTCAGATATACATTAAAGTTATTATTATTTTTTTTTTTGTCAACTCCAGTTTAGTATGTAATACAGAACTAAACAGAGTCGAAACCGACCCTCTTTGTACTTTAATGAGAGAGTAATTACAGAACCTCCAGGTAGTCCTCTCCAATTGGACCGATTCAGTTGTCAACAATAGGCCAATTAGCCAATGAGAGATTTTGTTGTCTACAGCTCCACCATTCCTTCAATCCTTCCTCCAATCTCAATCGTAATACTTGAAAGGATGTTTGAATTTTTTATATTTCTTGCGCATTAACATTATTTAATGTAAATAATGCAGCACAATATCATTTTAGTACGGTATGGAGATCCTTTAATCTGTACATGAGAGTGAATCAATAATAATAATCAATAATATATATATAATAATAACAATAATAATCAATATATATATATATATATATATATATATATATATATATATATATATATATATATATAAAATTGTATAGAATCTTAATTAACCTCTTACCCTAATTTTAGCGAACCAGGAAAAGAATAAAAAATTAGAGTTTTATTCTGGTGAACGAAACCTATTATATGTACTAGGACAGATGCTGAAAGTAACTGGGGTAAGTTGCTCCGAGTGAAATAGCTCCAAAACGAAAAGAGATACAGTATAACTTATATTATAATTTAATTCATACACGTCCCACGATTCTGATAATATTCGTTATTATCTAAACTATGTTATATGTTCGTAATTATGAAACTCATTCGCTACATCAGCTGTTAATTGCAAAGCGAGATAATGTATAACCTCAAAGTACAACTTACAAGAAGAGGTTACGGACGTGAGATCACCGATATCAAACAATTGTTTCGGTGATACTTGGTCGAAAAATATTTTACCCATCTCCTTCTTGACAATACGTCCTACTGGCCGATAAAAAAAAAATCTATAAAATTTTACTATTTTTTTAAATATTTATTTGTCGCACAAATTAAAAGCGAGCATTAATTTTGTTAATAGGCGATTTTCAAGTAATATTTGAGGTTATTTAACCAGAACTTTTAGCCCCCCTTTCCCCAACTCTATTTTAAAATCAGATTAAAAAAAATATTTCAGTTTATTTGAATTTGTGATTAGTCGAAAAGGAAGTAATTTCCGTTTCCAATAAGTTTTTCGTCAATTAAAAGCTGTGTGCAGTATTTAAAAAAAACTTCAATGTGGAACATTTATATCTTTGTTTTTATATAAGTTTCAATTAGGAGTAAAATATCTTTTGTCTGATATCCCGTTGAAGAGCTCGATGGATCTTCTTCAGGTGATCACATAACTCTTCTTCCAATCTTGACAATTTTCCGATCCATTCGTTTCTCAGCTCTTCGGCAGTATCTGGGAAGATGGCTCCCAGCAAACATTCGACAAAAGGTGATAAAAATTTTACTGCGATGTCAATAAAATGAGTCATATCGGGTTAACTGTTGCCAGTTACTACCGGGGCCGTTAACCATAAAATGAGTGGATAACATTTCTGATGGCAACTTACATCTGCCATAGACCCACAGCTGCATTTGCCATCGACCAATCACGTCGTCTGTGTCACTGGAGAGTGTAATCGCCCAATCAAATAGATTGAACTGCAATCATTGGAAATATACCTATCGTTAAGCATAAAATGTCGGTAAAAGGTTTTTATTATGATTGAATGTGGTATCGAATTAATAGGTGGATTACTCCTATATTATGGCGTACGAATCTTTAAGAAGTTTTGGAGATATGGATAATCTGATGATTTTATTTATTTGCATGAATATTGGGAAACCATACCATCATTAAAAACCTGTAGGCTATGGGGCGGGGTAGCCAAGCGGCTAACGCGTGCTCACAGCACCGCTGCACAGTAAGAGAAGAGAGTGCGAAGTAAGAGAGGGTGGGAAGAGTAAGAGAAAACTCACGACATGATTAATTCATTTTTTAAAAATTGAATTATTCAATAAAAACAGTGAAAAATGTATATTGTGCCAACTGAAAATATTCTCGGAAACTCTGCGAACAACTAAAGATATCAATTAAAATGTTTATCTAGTTTCTGGAGTTAAAAAAAAAAAAAAAAAAATAGATTTAGTCGGATTCAAATAGATGTCGAGAGTCATCTAGTTCTTGAAGTACTAAAAAAATAAAATAGATTTAGACAGTTTCAAATAGATGTCACGAGTTTTCACTTACTCGTCCTACTGTGCGCCGTTGCCCGGCAAACTGATCAATTATATAAATTGATAAAATAAGTACGAGTTCGCGTTCTGATGCCCGGTGGATTTTAACTCTGGCATTAATCCTCTACCCTAAACCCCTGGTCCGGGAAAACCCCCGTATAGTGTAAAAGGCGAGGACAAAAAAACAAAACAAAAAAAAAACCTATACACTAACCATAGTGCCCATTTCGCATCAAAATTGATCTCAGTCCTTAGATATTCGACTTACCGGGCCTATATTTCCTCAATTTGCCAAGAATAAATGGTGTGTGTGTGTGGGTTTATAATGACTTCTTGTTATTTTGTTTACAGTAATAGTTGAAACATTCTAACTAACCACTCTATCATCTCGTTTTAATAACTACATCATAAATGAAATTGTATTGAATGGATCACAATTCGGTCTATTTAGTAATTAATTACACGGCTTTATAATTAAATATTCATATTATCAAGTATTTACAATTAATCCTTCTAATTACTGTAATTTTATTTATGTATTTTAAATAAAATGACAAATGTATAATTTCTGTCATTCCAATGCCTCAAAGTTTTTGTTTACTCATTTCCAGAAATTTATATCAAATAATTACCCTTTCCATTGTTCTTTAGGCGAGTTGTAATTGCTGTTACCATTTGAATTCTGAGAATATAATATCAATTACGTAGAATTGTATTGACTAGAACCTCTTAATCTAAATTTAATCTGTGATAGAACTATAATTGAGATTGCTAATTAAATAAGATTAATTTAATTAGTTTGGCTCAAATAGTTATTGTAATTAAGGATCACAATTTACAAAGGTTCATGAAATAGTCTCA